CCCCCCCCCTCCCCGGCCCCCCAAAGAAAAACAACAGAAAGACAGCAGACAGACGGTACACACAAGAGGTATGAACACACGTGTCAGTATGTCCGTGGTTATTGCTTAAACACGTGTCTAACACTCGCAAAGGAAAAAGTTACAATATAATATTATGTATCCACCACAGCTGTACTGTAAGTGGCATTTAGCTATTGTCTGTGTACGTGGGCGCATGATGTGCGCTCGCGTATCGGTCAGTATGACAGCGTCTTGGATGAACATGAGGCCGATTTAGTTTTAGTTTTAGTAAGAGTTTTACGGCACTTGCTACGCAATTTGGTCATACATACGTGCCGAAGATTAGAGGTGTTACTAGATCTAGACAGTAATAGATTCTAAATAAAAGAAGGGGCAGAGACAAGGACAATAAATCTTTGATGGGAAAGAGGAAGAAAACCACACCAGAGCACCGCCAACCACCCACAACACACAGCGTTAAATCCATAGGTTTCTATTATGCAGAAGGAGGACGTATAGGCCTTCAGAGCAAATTAAAAGCATTTCGAATCTAATAAACCAGTGGGCTCCCTCTATATAACGAAATAGACACTGGTCTGGCTTCTGTGGCGTTCGAGTTGCTCTATTGGTTAGCATCCATGCAAAAAAAGAAACCCCTCCAAAATAAAACAAACAAACAAAACAACACATCACACAACAAACAACCCCCCCAAAAAAAACAAACAAACAAACAAACAAACAAACACAAAAAACAAAAACAAAAACAACCCCCCCCTCGATATTATTGTATTTTATTTGTAAAGATTTCTTCCCATATATGACTATACCACAGTTCCATAGAACTATGTGGACCGTAATTGCGGTGGACCACAATTTTCACGACACCATGATTCATTATGCCAAATCACATTCGGGTCAATAACATCAAAATGGAGGATTGTGCTGTAGCATTTCTGTTTGTTTATACGTCATAATCCTCTTGATTTGCTACCCTGAAGAGATACAGTACTCTATCAAACGTTCTTTTGGTTTTTGCGGCTACAGAAATTCTGCTTATCCCGTAAAGGTGAGTGGATAAATAATTATTGACTGATTCGTTTGTCACATGAGGGAATAAATAGGCTTGGACTTGGTGACTTGACTTTTATTAAAACTAAAAAAAGGCAGCAGTCAGTCTGAATTACTGAGAAAATGATGAGGGCCGACTTTGATTATGATCGTCCTAGTCCAAATCGTGGTCTCATTCCAATCAAATCGGTATTCTGATTAACGAAAGAGCTCTGTATGTCCTTTTGAAACAGCTAGAACTAGATTCTAGATCTGGATTCTCTAGATCTGTGGGCTTGCCACACAACTGACTTCGTACTTTCATGAGTAGATCTAGGCCTATTGGCCACGGCCACAGTTATCGTTGGGTGTAGTCTAGTCTATGCCATGATGATCAGTATAGATCTAAATCTAGATCTAGATCTAGATATATCTAGTCTACACTTTACAATAATATGGTGTTTTGGTAAATTTTTACTTTCACTCCCGCACACAGATGCACTGTTTCAGGGGTCAAACTGCAGTACTGTTTGCTGCAGATCACACATAAAGCCACTAAAACTGTCGCAAATCAATTATTTTCAAGACAATTTCAAATCTAACTGTAAAATATCAAATTATGGGTAAAAACAGGGGGGCATGCCCCCCTGGTACCCCCCGATTGGTCCAAAGCACGTCTATCTCGGTTAAAAACAATCAAATATTTCAAAAACTATTAATTTGCGACGGAAATGAAGTTGATATTCGTGTTCTGCGCATCAATATTTAGTAGAAAATAGACAACTGGTAGCTGAGTGTGAGACGGGAGGGAAAGTAAAAAAATACCGGTGTTTTTTACAGTTGTGTAGTATCTTTGTTTTGTATTGTACCATAGTCCAAAGTCATAGTTATAACATCAACCATGAGACAAACTCATGAAAAACAGAGGGGTAGGGGCAAAAGTTAAAAATTCATAGGTCTCCTGTTACTGTTAATAGTGCTGTCATTTTAATTATCAAACAGCAGTCTGAGCAGAATCGGTCATTTTAGATTACAATACAAAATCTTGTCTCTAGCTAAGTTACCAACTGTATTGAGTTTGGATACTGACTTGGACTTCCTGAACGAGGAGCCTACAACAAATTTATTGGTCAGTGCATTCTTGAAAGTTGTTGTAGGCTACTAAAGACTGATTGATTTTTTTTTTTACTCATGCACCCGTCAATGTACGTGTTTTATGTACTTTTGTTCTAGAGTCTAGAATTATTTTGCATGCTGAACCCGAATATGGCCTTCATTTTTGCTGCAAATCAATAATTATTGAGTTATTGATTTTTGAAAATGGTAAATACATTTGACTTGATTTTAACAAAATTGGGGGTTCAGAGCTAAAAAGATTTGATGTTTTGGCAATTAGGATTGATCTTTACTTGAAAACAATTGATTTTCAAGGGCTTTAGTGGCCATACATGTGTGTTCTACAGCAAAATTTATGACAGTTTAGCCCTCAAATCAATGCATCTGTGTGTAGGTGCATATATAGGGCCTTAAGTAAAAATTTACCCTATGATTATGGGCCATGGGTGTCTCGAATGTCCTTTACTTCTTTAAAGGTTTTTGTGTACAACGATCTTATGTTAGTCTACAATTTGATGAAT